TCAAGTACCTGGTGAGGGCTGCTAGGTAAAGTTGGGGGGGCGTTGGGGGATGGGAAGGGTCTACGACTATCATGACTTCCCTACTATTGAACTCTAGAGCTGATGAAAGATTCATGAGGGGGTGGGAGCTATTTTGTGCTAATATGAGAACTCCCATGCCACCGAACTGTAGTGGTAATGTGAGACGACCGAGGGGGTCGGCAAGGGCAGGGCCAGTATGCACCATTTTCAGAGCACCCGTGCTACTGAACTCCATTACGTGCAAACAAGAATCGGAACAGCCGTGCTACTGAACTCTGTTGTATTGCTCAGAAAACATTGTCTAGGAAAGGCAGCCGTAGATCATGGACATTCTCCACCATCAAAAGATGCTTCCATAAATGCAGAGTTGACACATGAAGCTCGGGCCCTGTGTTCGCCACGACACGTCCTGCATATGACTGCTTAACTTGGCATCCGTGGGTTAAACTTCCCACTCATCACGGGCTGCACCATGTGTAGACTAACAGGGAGCAGCCTGCAGGAACGTGACTGCGACTACCACACAAAGGGGCACAGTCTCCTTGTCCATGCTAGACACCCTTAGCGTTGTTGCATAGAGAAAGCTAACAAGACGGTAGAGGAAAAGGATGAATCCAACATCGCTTCCCAGTTTGGTCCTCACACGCCAACGAGTGGGGCCAATGGTTGCACATATTTGAACCGTATATGCAACACAGTTGGACGTATGAATACTAGAATTCTGAACCTTGCCTCTTTACAATAGGAAATTTTGTGATCATACATATACAAGTTTGCTATTATGCCGTGGGATGGAACTGTTAGGTACCGATCGCAAGAGATGTTGCTTGTCTGAACAGATCACTTGGTCTAGGGCTGAGTCTCATCAGTACGCTGTGAGGTCACTGCTTAGCAGACTACGACATCCCGACACTTGCCTGGCAGACATTTAAGCTTGATCAGTAGGTCACCGAGACTTGTCATACAGGTGAGGAGGGAGTCTCGACCTGCAGGCTACACAAATGTTCCTAATGCATTGGTAGCTACATCAAGTTTCGGCATACATATCGGGGGGAAAGGGGGGCGGGGGGGGGGAGACACCAATTTCGAGATCTCCTGCCAGTTCGATTTCTGCTCAGATGAGCCATTATCCGTAGCGCACGACAGAGACGTGTGGTAAGAGTTTTGCATGAGAATCCGTTAAACCCGCACAGAGCTAGCTGTCACCCAAGGTGAGGTACGAAGTATTTCCTTATTTACATCACAAAGGCCTTAGGTTTCCCTCATGTCTGTGACCGAAATCAATCTGCTACGATTTAAATGTGTAAAATCTAGTTAAAAATGTATCACTGATTTAAACAAAAATGTCTACAGCTATTGGATAGTGTTTTATAGTGCGTTTCAGAAGTTCTGCCGAGCTTTAAAAATCTGTAATTCAGTAAAAAAAAATTTTAATTTGGCGTGCAGTCTGTTAATAATAATGTCGTTGTAAGATTTTATTTAATGTAAACAAACATTTTGCTTTATTTTTTATTTTTTGCCGTACACGAAAAAATAACAGACACCTGTTCAAAGCAAACAATCAGTCTGCTTACAGTAATGTAGAAAAATCTGACTAGGGAGAAGTTTAAAAAAAAAATTGCACGCTTTTCATAGGCGTTTCACTTTCAGGTGGTCATCTCTAGCATGCGTCTCCTGTGAGTTGTGAATTTTTCATTGAGTGGGGAATAGGCTATCACAATAATCACTACGCATCGCTGCACATATGTGAACTGATTTCCAAACAATCTCCACAAGTGGGTCAATCATTATGTAATCTACTTCTTCAGGGGTACAGAAAGTGTTAATGGAACACAGATCAAAGCAATTATGTCGCTTTAGGAAAGAAGCATCAACTTGTAAAATGCGTGCTGATCCTTGAAGGAGATTTCAAAATACAATTTAAAGTGGGACTGCATGAGTTTTGAAAGGCACTATAGCTCGGAATCGGATCGGTGATGTTGCAAAAATCACGTGTTTTGTTTAATTTCCGATGAAATTTTCTAGCAAACCCTGAGTAATTATAAAAAGTAATTTTCTTCTTCTTCTTCTTCGTGTTCACCAGCTGTAAACTCTGGTTCTGGTTGTTCATCCACTTTCAGACTGCCGTCCTGTTCCAGAACCTGCGTGTTGCGTGTGCATCCGTTTTACAGATCTGACTCATTTGTATGCAGACTGCTGGTTCCTGCCTCTCAGGCAGATCACTCCGACCTCGAAGGTAGCTCCTATTTATTCGGCCCTTACGACATGCTTTTGGGTAGGCAGAGTAATAATAAAAACCATCATCAATATGGATTCGAAGTCAAAACCTTCATTCCACCAGGTTAGTGCATAATCTAATTTTGGATCTGCTATAAATAATTTTTTACCTTTTTGGCATTGAGTGCCGGAACACAGATCCTTGTTGAGGACAAATATTGGGTCGGTGCACACTTTTCGACATAGAGAGCAACATTTCTGCTCCCCGGGGCAATCATAGTCATTGCTGCAACCAGTGCCTTTGCACTCTGATCCTGCAACCTGATTCTAAAGAAACGATAACCACTGTCAATACCTTGTGCTTGTAGAGTTATATCTCAGACTGATAGATGATAACCACTGTTATTGCCTTGTACAGTAATACTTCTATTAACAGTCACTCGTTTAACCGTCAGTTTTTGTTATTCTAATCATTAAAAAAAAAAATACCTGGGTGAATTTCAACAAGCAAATAGACATATTTAAAGCTAACCACGGATTACTTTTAATCCCTGGTGTATAAAGCTGGAAGTGACTGTACTGTATGATAAAAGAATGTTAGGGGCCAGTGTAGTCTCGATGCATGGTGTCCGCCTCGAGTGCTAGAGTTTACGAGTTCAATACGCGGTAGGGGCTGGGGTTTTTTACGTGGACTTGGACTTCTAGTAATGTCCCCAGGTCTCTGGTAAGTGAAATCAGACGCCAGTGAGCATTTTTGCGCACGTAAAATATCCTTAGGCAGGTGGAAATCAAAAAGAGTAGCCTAACGGCGCTGCTCAAGCAAAATATGGAGTTGAAAATCTACCTAAAGTATTTCACGATCCTCACCGGTGCTACAGAGCCTGTGCACTGTGCTGAGCTTCTTCGGACTCAGACTTGAGTTGGAAGAAGAAAGGAGCACGTATGGGCTACTACCCGTGTGCCATAATGTTCATCCGTTGTTCAAACCTCAAAACAACATTATCAAAGTGCATCGACTGGTTTGAAATACAGGATGAGTCAAAAGCAACAGAGATGATACTTCTGAACATCGCCGAGCAGCAAGCTCGAGCCTCAAAACTACACAAGAAGATGCCAGTTTTTTACAATAACGTAAGTTTATATTATTACAATACATTTCTGTACATTACTCCACTTGTATTGAAGTTTACACTGATCGTTTGGCGAAATGAAATACAATATGTAAGGATTGTTGTTGTTGTTGACCCAAGTCCTTAGTGAAATCATAACAGTTATGGTAATATTGCTCCTCCCATTTACACAGTGTTACACACTAGATCACTTCTGATCTGCCGACCTTCAGCCTAGTTCACTTCTGATTGGTCGACCTTGGTCCACGCAGCCTTGGCAAAAGGTGACTGGGGTATTCCCCAATGCCTTCGTTATTGCTTGTTTTACATTTCAGCATGCCAGCTCTTTTAACACTCCAAAAACAGCCACCAACTGGGTCTAACACTAAACCCCTGTAGAGAGTGATGAAGCATATGTCAGGGGCATTGTCTTTCTCATAATAAAATAGAAAATGCAAGACATCCCAAAAAACAAAAAACGGAGCTGCACGCCACTAACGTCCAGCAAGGTAAAACAGTCTAACAAAGTTATCCAAGGAACGTGACCTACTTTGTTTGGGGGAGACTAATGTTTGTTTAAATCTCATAAACGTTTATGACTTGACTTGACTTTCTACCCCACTAGGACATCACACCAGCGATAAACACCCGATGACACAAAGTGCCACCATGTGGATGAGGATCACCGTGGAGAGGTCCCAGAAACCGCGTTCAGACAATTGGCCATATTTATGGCCTGCCTATATTCCGGCCTCTGGCAAAAGCCAGAGTAGGGCTTCAAATAACAGAAAAATTACTTTTTTCAGGAATACTGCATAAGTAAGTAAACGTTTATTTGATATCCGTCACAGCCATGTCCGGAAATGGACGTTGTTACAGTATTTTCATAATGATATATCAAGCTAAACTACGATAACCCAAACTAGTTCACTGTATTTACATGGTGATCCGAATATACTATGTGAGAACGGCTTATATTAATTTGTGCATACTGAACTCCGCGAATAAATCTTCAGAACCGCTGAAAGGTCACTAGTGTCTTTACCCACTAGTAGAAGTTAGACTGAGTTGTTACCCTTGAAGACCAAGTAGAGTTCAAGGCCACTGCCACCAAATTCAAAGTAAAGTCTCAAGTCACCGAGAATGTTTCCAGCTGGAGTCCCGGGGTCTCGAGTATAAGCTAAAACGTCAGGAAATTTTCGGGAGAGAGAGAGAGAGAGAGAGAGAGAGAGACAGACAGACAGACAGACAGACAGACAGACAGACACAGAGAGAGAGAGAGAGAGAGAGAGAGAGAGAGCGCGAAGGGGGGAGGGGAGACGAAAAGTAGGTATGTTGGGTATAACACAATAACTGTATCAGAAAAGATCGGCAGTACACATACACAAAAGCTGTAGACATTCACAGTTGGCATGCCATACTGTGTGGACCAGAATAAAAAGTGCCTTGTTGGTATCCAGCAACGAATTATGTTTCAGCCCAGGAAACTGAAAGGCTGCCAGGCCGAAATAATTAAATTTGAATGAAAACAATGTATTTGTTGACCTTGACATTGTTGTCTAACACGGCAGCTTATGCTGACCTTTGGCTTATTATTATGCTGGCCTGCCTTTTTTTGTTATTTTGACCTTGGTTTTCTCATTATCCCAACCGTGGTGTTATTGTTATTGCTGACTGTCCTTTGTGTAGTGCTACTGGTTAAATATCCATTTGATCTTAGTTATTTGTTTCTGCTTATGAGGAATTCATGCGAATTCTGCAAGTTTATTCGTTGGCATTTGTTAACAGCTGGAGGTTTAGATTAAACGACATATTTAAATTTAAAATAAATATTTTTTTTCTGAGTTAGAATGTTGACGGAGAAATAGTGTTGTGTAGTCGATGATTATAGGTCTTTGCCATCTACGAAGGATGTGTTACCATCACAGACGATGGGTGTGAGCGATGAAAGAGCTGATTGCTTGACCGAAACTATTAATGTATCATAATATTTTCAAATGTATCTAGCTGATATTAACACCCATGATAAGTCAACCTCAAAGAAGATAGTCAGCTGAATGAATAAATATTAAATTTAATGAAAACATAAAACTCTTCATGCATAGCAGGATTTACCAAAACAGATCTATATTTATTTTTAACATTTACATTATAGTGTAGGTTTGCACTTTATATAAGTAGTAATGTTCGGCATCAAATAATGCCAAGTTTGTCTATTTTGAAATGTGCACACAACAAAGACACACACATTATGAATTCTCTTATTATCATCGTGTGTCCTAATAATAAGCGTAAGGCCCCCATGTTTGACCATACGGCACGATTACTAAAATCACAGATCAAGCCAGTGCTCTTGTTTAAGCCTTACGTCTACTTCTTTCGCTTTTTTAAATCAATGGTTGCAAGCTCCTGAGCCAGTTTCCTATCATAAATTGTCTGCAAATACCCAGACTATGATTGTTCGAGTAAATCTAATGTGCTTCGTAATTTCACCGTGCCCTGTTCGATTGCAGCTGCTGGCGATTAGCAACAAACTAACTATCAAACTAGTCGTTCTATTTCCGGAACTAACTATCAAACTAGTCATTCTATTTCCGTCTGGTCACGTCAAGGAAAAATAACATGTTTATTTGCCAAAACAGAGTTGACTCATATGTTGTCAATACATGCGACATAATTAAAGTGTTGTTGGTACTGTTGTTGTTGCTGCTGTTGTTTTTGTTGTTAATATATATATATATATATATATATATATATATATATATATATATATATATATATATATATATATATATCCTCCTCCTCCTTTTTCGTCATCATCATCCGTCTTCATTTTCTACTTTTATCCCTACTCCTGATTAGTTTCGACATTTTATTGTCAAAACGGAAAGGTGCTAAGTTTTTCACAGTGATATTTACACCTCTTCTCCGACACATGTGCATGCTTTAAGGCACCACTTGTTGATTAGATAGCCCGATAGGGAAGAAGAAGTGGTTTCTTACCGTGGGACAAAGACCAGATTTAGTCAGTGGGACTGAAACCTTTCCCCGGCAACACAGTCCTCCAGCACAAGTTGCTCCAGAGGGACATGACTGGCAACATATCAACTGTTTGTAGGTAGATTTGTTGCTAGGTTTTTCTACAAGAACAACTTCGGTGTAGCTCAGCCGGCGGCATTCATTGTCAATACCTGTAAGGGATAATAACATAATATCTGAACTCATATCCTCTAAAGCTAAAATGTATAATATATGTATGTAATTAAAGTTATGTTAATGTGTTTCTTGGGAAGAATGTTGGGAACACCTTGGACTGCCAGAATAACTAACAATGATTGCCTGGAAACGGCTAAAGAAAGTAGAACATTATATACAACAAGGAGAAGGAGACAAAGTGCTTTTGTCATGTGATGAGAAAAGGAGCGCAGGAAAGTATCGTGACGACTGGAAAGGTCACTGGTAGAAGAAAGAGCGAAAGAACTAACAAATTGTATTTTTAAAGGGTTAAGAATTGGGCATGCAGGGCCGTCGAATATTCTGCCCTTCGAGGTCTCCCTTCATTCTTACATCATTTCATCAATACATCAAGTAATAAAGATTGTCAATATCATTGAAGTATTCGTTACAAGAACTGGAATGATTACATTTCTAGCTACAGTAGACCGTAGTGGGTGTAATAAATCTAAGAAAATTATGCGCTGTTTCTAAAAAAAAAAAAAAAAAATTTTTAAATGGGAGCATGTGCTCAGAAAATATTCCAACAATTTCCTATTGTATGTATAGGAATTAATAGTATTTTTGATCTGTTGTGGAAGACAGTTCCACAACTGAGCTGCGGAGTGAGCCAAACTTGTATAAATACTTCAGCAACGGACACGAGAGATATGTCAGAAGGAATATTTTCAGAGCATTTATTTTCGCAGAATGATGAAAGCAGGGATAAATTACAAGGACAGTTTAGTATTGTGGCTTTTAACTGTTCTATATCGGGTTCAAAGAAATTGCTGAAATCATCAGATGTTGTATTAGATGTCAATAAACGCGCTGAAGTAACATTTGTGTGTGTTTGTTAATGTAATAATTGCCTTCAATATATCTTTGGTGTTTATTTTATTTACTATTAACTTTTAAAATAAAAAGTTCTTCCTCTCCT